AAAAAAATTTCATATTTAAAACAAAAACTCTTATTCAATTATCCATTGTTCTCAGGTGTGCGTGTGAGAAATAAAGTGAAAGAAAGAAAAAGTAAAATATTTTCTTGGTCGGATAAAAAAAAAAAAAAAAAAATTCTGATTTACGTACAACACAATTTACGATAAGACTCCATAGATGTTAGATTACTCATTACTAAATATATGTTTAATAAAAAAGTGTCGAGGATTTTAAAATCATTTGTTTTATCTGTGGTGCAAGTTTTCTTTTTTGAATAACCGTTTTCTTTTCTGTTTCAGTTTGCTATTCTTCCAACAAATAAACCCACAACGAATAAACTTCAGAAATTAAAGAGTCGAAAAAAAAAAAAAAAGAAAAAAAAAGAGATTTAAGTTTTAAGATGGAATCTTCAAATGTCATTATTACGCACATTCGTGACGTTGTTTTATTAAAATAAAAAATATAAGGGGGAAAACTATAGTATTTAGCACTTTATTTTTACTACACAAGTTTTAGTTTACTTTAATTTATTGGAATTTATAATAAAATTATTGGAATGGACAAAAAATAAAAAAAAATAAATAACAAAAAAATGTTAAACGAAAGCATTAATAAAAAAAAAACGATAAAAAGAACTGTATCATCGTCATCTTTGTTATTTTAATATCATGTGAAAAACTAAAAGCAAACAAAAGAAAAAAGTTAGGAAAACATCCTTCTCCACCTGAATTTTTTCTTCTGGGATCACATGACATGACACCATCATCATCTTGTTAGGGATCAAGTTTTTAGACAAAATAGCTTGAACTTTACGCTTTTCTTTTTTTCGTGAAGGCGGATCTAATAGTTACTCTTGTTGACTAAAAAAATGGACAATCTCGTTAGTAAAGACAAAAAGGAAAGTCTAAAGAAAATTCCTTGTAGAAAGAATTTCCTTTTTGTAAAAGTAGTAGCAACAGTGCCCGAACCACGTGACATTGTTTGTACACTACACACAGCAACAATTAATTACATAAAATATTTTAATAATGTTTTTAAAGTATGCAAAAGATGTGTATTATTGAAGGTAATATCCAATAAATGTTAATGTTACCAACTAAAAAAATATGAAAAGTAAGAAATAGCACTTTTTACATAGCATGAAAGTGTAGGGGTCACCACGCACTTGCAAGTAGTTTTCATTGCAATAATAATTAATAAATTATCACCTTTAGGCTTTAAAGTTTTATTTGCAAGGAAATAACATACATTGAGTTAAAAAAAGCACCAAACACAACCAAAAATCCTACTTTCATATACTTAAAGTAGGCTTTATTTCTTTTGTAACATGTTTTTATTTTATTTTTATTAAACGATCTTCTTGTCCCAAGCGGGGTATATTAAAAACGGGTGTTCGAACGAAAATTTACATTGTGTTTAAAAAAATGTTTCATTGGCATTCTCAAGTAATATTTTGATATTTTATAAAAACAAATATATGCATCAAATTCTTTTTAGATTTAATAAACGTAAAAATAAAATTGAGTTTAATGTTTTGTTTTGTTCCGTATGTGAGTGCAGTGTCAAATGCGAACAGATGTTTATTGTTTCAATAAATGAATCTGTATTCATTGTTTCCTTATACATGAGCATGTTGAATAATGTTGACATTTGAATTTTACATGTTGATATCTAACTTGTTTGGTTAGCTAAACTTATTTTTGTTTTTTACTTACTCTTCCTACAGACACACATACAAAGAGAAACATACCTGAACGTGAACCGATATAAATTTGTGGGATATTTTGCTTTATTTATTTATTTTTTTTAAACTCTGTACGTGTTCAGTTTTTTTGGTCCTACTTTTATTTTTGATCCATACGTTTAAAAAACACCTGAAAAAAACAAAACTGATTCAATCCTAAATTGTTTATTTTATTCTTTACTTTATCATTTTCTTTATTAATCATTACCCCCCCCCAAAAAAAGTTATCTGCAATTAAACGTGTACGATTACAATACAAAGAAATTATTTATTAAAGCGGTAAAAAATATAAGGAAAAGTTTTTGGGTTTTTTTTTTTTTTTTTACAAAAAAGTTATATTTCCTAAACGAACAAAAAAATTTGTCTTTTTTAAATGCATAAAAAGCTGAAAGCAAAAGGTGAAGGTTGTTCAAAAAACCATTATTTTCGCTAATCAAATTTCGCTTTAAAAAGGAATTCAAACATGGTAACTAACAGTAAAGAAAGGTTTCTTTTAAAAATATTTCCGAAATTCAAAACAAAAGGAAATAAAACAGGCTTGTTAATTTGTCTTTTTCTTTTTATTAAAAGAGACACTTTTTTCCTCTTCTCTTTCAACTTGAAAGTTTCAATCTGTTGTGACGTTCGTGACATTAGGGAACATCAATAAATCAAATTTGTTTTTGTCTCAGCCAGAGACGTTTTACGTTCTGGCTTCAGGATTTCTCACAAGAATAAGGAGCTAAGAAGCACCAAAATGTTTTAAACAGGATTAAAGGAAAAAGAAAAAAAAAGGGGGGGGTAAAAAAGGAAACGTTGGAAATTTACTTTTTTAGTTTTCAAAACTTTTTCATTTATTATTGATTTACTAAATAAAACAAAAACATTTTTTCACAATGTATTTTAAATCAAAAATCAATTTAAGTTCAAGTCAAATGTAGAAAAACTCCAGTTTTCACTAGAATTATTTTATAACTTTCATAGTTTCTCGAAATGTCTATTTTCCCAACATTCATTCAGTCACATTAAGTAAATTTAAATTGATTCTTTCTTGTTTTCAAATCCAGAAACTCGTGTTCTCTTGAGCTAAATAAAAATGAAATATATCGATAATAGATTTTTCTAAATTAGTCTGTCTCCCTCCAGAGAAATGCGCTGAGAAGATTTTTTTTCAAGTCTATTGTTCTTTCCTGCACATGAACTGAAGCAAAGATCCGTCTTTTTTTCTTTTTTTAAATAAAATGAATAGAGAACAAAAACGTGGTTAAATAGTAAAACCAAAAGACAGATTAAAAAAATCCGATAAAAATTTAAACACGTAAATCAATAAATAAGTACTAAAATGCAAAAAAGAAAAGAAAAAAGATCTGAAAATTACTTACTGTGAAAAAAAAAACTAAAAAAAAACTTTCAAATAAAAAGAAGTATTTTTATTTTTTTTTGTTACATTTATTTAAAACAAAAACAAAAAGCCCCTAATGTCGCCGTCTACTAATTCAATTCACAATAGATGTGACACAAGGTCATTTTTAGTGTGGACTTTCATTTCAAATATTGAAACGAAGGATGTTCCTGCAGTAGTGCAATGGAAAGGTGCTGTCTGAGTGACAGATCCCTGGCCCATTTATTTGCGTCTTATTTTAAAGGGGTAAAAATAAAATCGTTTTAATAAAATGGGCAGCAGTTTCACAAGAAATTTTTTAATAAAACAAATTTTAAATTTTTAATAAAACAACTTGATTTGTTTTAAATTTCTAAGTTGTTCCACTTCACATTTTTATTATTATTGACTGAATATAACTATTTTTTTTTATAGGAGCAAAATTAGCTCCTGCTTATTCAAGCAAACTTTCATTTGGGGGGGGGGTATTTAAAAAAAACGTTTGACTTTTAAGAACTAAATAAATCGTTTTAAGTGGTGTTAGTTTAATTAATTAATGTTTGAGAAATTTAAGGTGCGTGAGTAAGCACGGATTTTTATTTAGAACTAATTTAAAAAATTTGCGCAGATTTTTTTCTTAACTATAATACATATATAAAAAAAATGTTCTGATTGTAATGCTAGAGATAAGCTTTTCGATAAGTACCTAAAAAAAAAAAAAAATTGAAACTGGATAATAAATGGAATGTTCTGGGCTACCGGTGCATAACAACAAAGCAACGTGTTCGTCATTTCTTTCTTTCTTTCTCTCATTCTCTATGTGTCTGAACATTTTTAGAAAACCAGTCCTGGTAAATAACGACAAATAAAATCGAACCCTTTAAATCACATTGAAAAACATAAAGGCTAACAAATTTGCTTATAAACTGAACAAGTTAAGGGAGACTAGTCAGTGATTACTGATCTCTTATTTTAAAAATACGTTCTTGAAATGTGAGACGTAGTAAAAAATAGAAAAAGAACGAAAGAAAGAAAGAAAGAAAAAAGTATTTTTACTTGGGGTAGGAAGAAAACAAGGGAGAAGCGATAAGGTTGTGCTGCGGCTGTTGTAAAAAAATAGTGCGCCGGTCAGGCCACGAATGATATTAATGCGCGGCGCGGGCCCCCGCCATTGTAGTAGTAACCCGTTTAGGTTTCACCAACAACACAGTACAACAAAACAAAACAAAAAAACGTAGTAGTGTTGGGAGTGTGTGTGCGCGCTCCACCTTTCCGGAGCTTGTTACGGATTAAATAGTACATAAATCCGAAAAAAGAAATCAACTTGGGGGATGTAAGCACGAAACTAAACAGAACACACTGTAAAAGAAAAAAGAAAAGAAAGACGTCATATCGTACACACATATACTTCTCTAACTGTGGAGAAGTGACCACTAAAAAGTGTCATGGATGGGTACCAGGATGATTTGGACAAGGACATCAACAGATTCAAAGAGGATTTAAGTATGTTTGAGGTGCCGACACCCCAAACTTACTGGCGTGAGGTAACAGCAAAGAAATCAGACACATCTGCTGGAGAAGAATTCAAATGCAAACAAAACCTTTACATGACACACATGCATCAGCAGCAACAACAACAACAGCAGCAACAACCACAGCAACCACAACAAAACAGACAGACAACACAGATGAAATTTACTCAGAAAACTATAGTCAGTTCGTCTCGATTTAGCCCTGGTAGTGGTAGCGAACACATGCCACAAGCTCCAAGCTTACTTCAACAGCAACTACACCAACACCACGCGGGTCTGATGAATATCAGAGGTGATACTAAACCCCCAATCCCAATGCTCTTGGGTCAGCCTGGTTCCACTGGTTCTAAACAGGTACCCTTACCCATGATGTTCCCTCACCCTGGCACAAGTAGTATGCTCCCGCCACCACCGCCTTCTTCTTTTCAACACTCTCAGAGTAACGTCGCTTTGTCCGCGTTAGCCGAGAATATGAACAACGTGGGTTTTATGGGAAATTTCTCGCACTATCCTGGAGCAATGGGATTTAAAAGCGCTTCGTCGTCTGCCAGTGGCTCGCCGTCAGCATCGCCCTCGTTTCCCAACAGCACCCTACCGACCCACCACTCGCAGATCGATAACGTCGGTCTCTTGTCCGGCTTTCCTCGCTACCAAAGTTCGATGGGTTTTAAAAGTAGCCCTTCGTCCGGCTCCCCTTCTTTTCCCAACTGCACGATACCGCCTCCACCGCCGCCGCCACCGCCTCCTTCGGCTGCCGCCATCGCCGCAGCCCACGCAGCTGTCTCTCAGCAACCCTCAGGTCTGGTCATGGCCTCATCGTCTTCCACACCTACAATGATTCCCATCCAAGTTAATTCTCACCAGTCGTCCGGTACGACTGCTAACAACAAACAATCTGGTTCGACTTATTCCAGCCCCCGATCGAGTCTTGGTAGCGGGGGCGGTGGTGGGGACTCCAAAAACTCTAGTCCTCGGACCAGCCTGATCAGTCCCCAAGCTGCTGTCGCACCTGCACCCTTACCGCTGGTGTATGAAACGCGTTTCGGCAGTCCTCGATCGAGTATCACTAGTTCTAGATCCAGCATCAGTGCTGGCTCTGCGGATTCGAAACATTCGAGTCCCAGGGCTAGCTTGACTGGACCTTTATACGACCGCTTCCCTAGCCCCCGAGGGAGCCTCGTGATGACAGGCCATGACAGACCGATGGGACCACAACATGCTGACGGCGTCATCTCCTCCAGCACGTACCCGGTTCATTTGAATCAAGCTGTGATGATGCAATCTCCAGGTGGGACCAGGTCAATTCTAGGGGACAGCAGATTTAACGAACCAGCCCCACCCCACATTTTTAACGATCCTAGGTACCGAACACATCCGATTATTATATCTTCCTCTCCCTCGACATCACTAAGTGATGTGACCACTGATGTGTCATCACAACCTATTTATGCTAATACTGTCCAGCTTTTGCAAACTTCCACGGTTCCTCCTTCTACTACTGCTACAAATCAGGGCCAAACTACAAGCAGTATGACTGGCGGTGGCACTACCATACTCAAGCCTAATTTACAAAGTTCTAATATGGGAGTTCGCCTGCCTCTATACTATGAAACCATACCTCCCAAACAGAGTGGACCTTCGGAAGCTGAAAAGAAACTGGCGGTTTTGACTCAACAGCTTGAGAATGAGATGCGTATCTCAACGACACCCCGTAAATCAACGGACATCCCCAAAGAACCCCCACCTCCATATCATGGACCCCACAAGACCGAACCAATGCCGGGCAGTTCTAGTTCGGCCAGGACCCCTGTGAAATATGCCAGTGCCCCTTTGAGTGTAGCGAATGACACCACTTCAGTGGCTAGTCAGTCGACCACCTCACATGGATATAATTCACCTACCATGGAGAATACCCCGAAATCGAAACCCACTTTGCCTCACCTTACATATCAAGTGACCCCTGGACCTAGTAAAGGTCCATCTGAGGCGGAGAAGAAATTAGCTGCTCTTACACAGCAGTTGGAAGATGAAATGGAAAATAATCCCCAAGGAGAATATTATGGTGAGTCTGGAAATACGTTCACTTCATTGTTTCATTTTTTTTTTTTTTTTACAGGCAATTTTTGTCCATTGAAAAAAAAAAAAATTTAACAATTTTCGAAAATTGTTAAATTTTTTGCACTTCACTCTTTCTCTCTCTTTTTTTTAATATCAAAAGATCATCTTTCCCAACCATGTTAACGGTGTTTTTTTTTTATTTCAAAAACAGATGTGATTTCTGGAAATACCTTTGGAAAAAAAAATGCCATTTTTATAAATCCAAAGAATATATTAGTAAACTGTTTACTAATATATTCTTTTTACTGTTTACTGTAAACAGATTAAAAAAAATATATATATATAAATATTATTTAGTTTAATTTTACTATTTTTTTATTTCACTGGCTACTCCAGACATGAGAAACTAAATGTTCTTAAAAAAAATTAACACTAACAGTTTTAGTTAACTATTTGAAAGTTTTGAACTTGTAGCCTTGGAGTCTGAAATTAAGTATAAGAAGTTTATACTTTATTTATTTTGGTCATTCTGAGGAGAAAAATATTCCTGGATCCATTAATATTTTTGTAGATTCCAATATTTAAGAATTTGTAAATGGTAATAGTTTGAACTTTGAAGAATCATAACTTTGAGCTCATTTCCTTCATAAAGTCAAGATTTAAACCTGAAGAAATGATCTGGCATTCCAAACATGAATTTATTTGTTTTCGAATCAAATATCTCGTTCAACTTGCATTATTGGTCAGATATCTTTTTCTAATTTACTGAATATAAAATTTTTTTTTCTTGTTTTTATGATAAATATTTAAACTAAAATAAATGCTTCCAAATCAGAAATAGTTGTCGTTGCAAGATTATGATTCAAATTTCTGCTATTTGTTCTTTCTGGGTTTAATTTTAGGATTTTGGGATTTATTGTGCCGACAAGATTATATATAAGATTTTTGCCTGGTCAGTAATTATCAATACTTATTTGGATACAGAAAAAGAATGTGTAGTTATGTATCCATAATTTTTGGTATGCCAAACATACAATGTATATATAAGTAAGTAAGACAATGTGTAGGCATTTTTATGCAGATCTTACAAACTATACACAAAAACAATCTAATTACAATAAAATATTTGACATGTGATTTCAACATGTATTTAAAACACATAAGTATTTTTATATATATATATATAATGTATTTTTTTTTCAAAAGACTGAAAGAATACTTAATGTCCAATTTTTGAATATTACAAAATTTTTAAGCGGAATTGACTTAAAAACAAAACTGTTTTTTTTAAAACTTAACGTAGTTTTTGTTGTCCTTTGAAAATTAATACATGGTTGTTATAATTTAAAAGTAGCTCAATGTGAGAGATGAATAGATAAGAATATTGTGTTTTGTACACATCTTCCAACTGGAGAAAGGTTTGTCTGCCTAGAAAATCATTATTCGAAATTGACTTTCTTACCAAACCCTGATCTCTATCACCTGGTGGAAATTTCAGCTATGAGATAGGCTACTTTTGAAATTGGTTCTTAAGATTATAGCTTGTCCTTTTTTTTTTTTCGTACCCATTCAATTTCTTTGAATGTTTTGCTGTTATCCTAAGGATGACTGTGCAAAATTACACTGTTCTAAAGAGAAACTTTTCCAAGAATGCAAATCATTGCCACCTCACACATCACCTGTCTCAAAACCTGGTCCGAGTCATTATTGTTCATGTTGACCAGTTAAATGATGTTACTTATTTTGGGTTTGATCCGTTAAGGGGCATGCCTCTTTGAGACAAACTATTATTTTTTTTATTGCCTGTGAGAGCTGCAGTCTACATTTCCAGTTAATAATATGTTATAAACATTCCACATCTGACAGAACGAGTGATGATGACATAAAACCCAGCATTCCTTGAGGCTGAACTATGTGTTCAGCAAAGAGGAGCTTATAATCACATGAATGCATTTATAGGAGACAAACACTCACAAATTAACCCCAATCATTGTATACTCCTTAGAGATTTATTTACCTGAATGCTTGACAGATCTATGTGCATATTAATGTATCTATGTATTTTGTGTATATCTTTATCAGTTTGTATTTCTATATGTAAGTATGTGTGTATGTGTGTGTGTATGCTAAATATAGAAACAAAAAATGTTTTGCTCAGATGTCTCTTAGGTCTGGTTTGAAGCTGAAACATTCATAATATGTATAAAAACACCAAAGATTTTGTTTTGACAAGGAAATGGTCAATCAGGATAATTCTGGAAGATAATGTTTTTCAGGCAAGTGGTCTTTGTAATTATGGCACTTGATATCAAGAGACGAAGCTTTAATAATAAATAATATTAATTCTCTTATCTTATGCCTGCCTCTATTCTGAATTTTGTGGAATTACATCCACTCTTCAGAATACTTGGTAAATTTACAGAGTGGATGTGATAATATATGCTTATAATCTCTTGGTGCAACTTTTTCATATGCCTCTGAAATATCTCATGTTGTCTACTTTAATGATTAATGCTTTGAATTTTACTACAATCTACTGCTACTGTCTGAACTGCAAAGTAATGTTTTTAAAGTTTATAATAGTAAAAAAAAAAAAAAGTTATGTCATATGACTGTCTCTATTCAAAGTAGAGTTCTGGCACAAGATGAGTGAACTAATTTAATTTATTATTTATATATGAGATATATTATGTTGATCTAAAAGGTTCTAGCAATTCTTTTGTCAAAATGTTTTATTTTTTTTTTATTGGTGTTCACACAATACGAGGCCTGAAGGTAGATGATTAGCATAGGAAAGAACAAATGTTCAGAGGATAGAGCTGAAGCAGATTTTAGAAGGAACCAAAAATCTAATCCTAGAGGTAGCAAGGGATAAACCTCTACCCCTGTTCAAAAGATCAAGGAGAAGTGTGAACCAGACGATAGGCAGACATGTCTACTCCTTTATTCATGTAAATTTCTACCAGCATTATTCAGCCATCAAAATATCTTCTCAAGTCTTTTATGACCTTATGCCAACTTTACCTAAATTGTGTATTCAGTTAAAAAAAAAAATGGTTCTATTTCTGATTTTATGAATACTTTGAAGAATTTTTCGAGGTCTTGAACTTGTTAGAATCAATGACCAAACATTTTTTCCACAAGACAGAACAACTGATTGTCGTATGGTGGCAGGTAAGAAGCATGATTAGTGTTCATTTGTTGCATCACGTTATGGTCAACTTTCTTGCTCAGAACAATGTCTTTTATTCTTGAAATCTGTTATTCAAATGAGTCAATTGCTCACTGTAACATTATGTAATATCACTTTGTCTAAGTAACAGTAATTTTTGAATCTGATCATTTTCCTTGTAGATTCTGTTTAGATTGAGATATTCAAGGCTAACTTTGATTTAGCTGTGAGTTTTTTTTATACTTTCCTATTATCTACGATCACTTTTTATTAAAGCTTTAGTTTAGTATTTAATCTTATCGCCATATTGTTTTGAAACATCAGTCCTCGTTCAATCTCTAAAGTTAAGCAATGTAAGCTTCGATGTGCTTGGAATGAGAAATCAGAAAGCCAACTTCTAATTCCAGTCAAGTTCATTATATTTACTTATGCATAAATATCCTTGGGGAAAAGTATGAATCTATCTCTCTCTCCACTAACGGATGGACAGACAAAATTTGCTGTTTATTTATTTTGATGATAGAAAAGATCTGTATTGTTTATAAGGCATTGCACAATAGTATCAAACTCAAGGACACAAAAGGGGGTCATTACATGCTGAGGAAGAGCTGCAGCATTGCTAGGGTATTACCAATGGAGATGACATCATCTTCCCAACCATGGGTCTATGGACTCCCTTAGGAATAGGTTCTCAACAAGGGTTCCATGAACCCACAAAGCTAAATTAAATCAGTTTTGTACTTTTGAGTGATAGACAGTTGCAGAGGCAATGTATAATTTTTAAAATAATCACAGATTGTCAAAATGTGAGTTAAAAACATGTCCAGCATCAGTTAATGCAAGACAAATCATTAAGCATCAAAATTGAGTTTTCTTCCCATCTCAGAAGAACTAGAACAGACCTCACTCACCTTAAAATTGATTGACTATCTGTTGGTACTTGGCGAGTAGGTCTAGCACAATACTAGTAATGGTAATATTACCTGTTTACTTATGAGGAAACATTTAGTATTAATTAATCAAGCAGACAGTACTGCTGTTAATTGAAATTTATAATATCTTTGTCTTTAAAACAATTTTTCAGCAAAATAGATTTCTCAAATCTGGTAGCTGTTATCTGCTACTGCAAAAGTATAGAAAGAGTGAAGGACAAATTTATTAAATTTTAAGGAAATTATTGGTCACAAAAATAGTTTGCTGTGGGTCACAGAAAGTTTACAGGCTGCATTAAGCCCACAGCTGTGTGTTTGTGACCTCCTTTTCCACAAGGAAACAAACTTAGAGGGTATGAATAACATGTCTCTATCAAAGAGTAATGGTTAGTTCATCTCACAGGTTATTACCAACAAGATGCTTCATTATTGTGTCAGATGAAGTTAAGGTTAAATGGTAAGATGAGTTACCTGTCGAAAATTAGCAAACTAGTCTGAATAATCATTATTATTAAAATTGATTCTTGCTGGTAGCAGATTGAACTAAGTTTAGAAAACATCTTTGTGACTTACAGTATGAAGAAATTTTACTACCCTTTCCCATAATAGGTGTTTGTGGTGATGACGGAGAAAACCAAATCTTATCCCTGAGAAAGGTATTTGTTTTCTCTCTGCTATCTGTCGACTGTAGTAGGCTTCAAAATTTGGTAATTCTTTGTGCTTCCATACCAGTCTAGACCAGTGCTTCTTAAACTATGGGTTGTGACCTGAAATTCTGGGGTTGTGAAAATTAAATTCAAACACTTGAATTTCAGTTTATATGTTATTTCACAAATGCACAATATTTAACATGATGTGCCATGTAAATGCTGTGGTAATAAAACGCGTGTATGGCATCATTGCGACTAGTGCAGTGACAATGTATTTTCAGTGTAGTTGGCTAATACCTGGGGTCGCAAAAAATCTTGTGATGAAAAAATGGGGTCGTGAATGAAAGAAAGTTTAAGAAGCACTGGTCTAGACCAATCAGTTTTTCTTACCCCTAATAAAGGAACTCTACTCTACACAACAGGATTACTTGTCTCCCTGTGGGTGAAGAAGATAGTTGTGTGTTGATTTTTTGACACTTTCTATATACGCCCACAGTTGTGAGACTAATTTTTGACCCTTGGAATCTCGGACTCAAGATTCTTTTTATCTGAACCCATTTATTCCTATTTACCTCAGTGTTACATTTGCATATGCATTTCTTGCACTAAATGTAACATCTATTAGTAACTAGCCTAGAAGCCACCCTTTGGATGAACTTTAAGCTAACCCCTGCAGAGAGCTTTTGAGTCTTCAGTCTTTTACCTTCAGTATCCTATGTACATAAAAGTTATAAGAATATAGAAATGATAAAATTATTTTATCTTTATTTGACAACTTAATTCGGCTTGATCTTTCTATTGTGTATTTATTAAGTGACCTGTCTCTTTTTAACAGATCATAGTTCATTTACATTTATTTTGTGCGCAATTTTTATTTTCTTTTAAAGTCACCATTCTTTATGATCCCTTCACATATAGTCACTCTTAAAAGACATTAGGGAACCTGAACTATGTAATATTTTGAATATGTCACAGTATGTGTGCTAAAAAGAAAAAAAGATATATAAGCAACATGCCATGCTCCACTTAAGTTTTAATTATGGTTTAATTAGACAATATTAATTGCAGTGAAAAGCGAAATTAAAGTTAAACGCTTAATAAAGAATTGTTTCTTAAAACTTTCACTCAGTTCAATATTTAAATTTAACTTCAAATGAGTTATTTAATTTTTAATTGCATGTAACTACATAAGTTATTACCTGTTACTTCAGGTTGCATATGATCTGAGATCGAAAAATGGATGGACGACGGACACATTTACATTGAGCTTTATTTATATAGATAGATAGATAACAATATGTGTTTTTTTTATTTTTCCTTCTAGAATTACATTTGGGAATTTAACATATTTTCTTTTATTTAATAATTTGGTGTGTGTTTTGCGTTTCTTTTATTTTATTTTTGCTGATTGTTTGTCTGACTATTGATTGTTAGTACCTTCATAAGTATGTAAATTATTAGGGTTACTATAAATATTCAAACATGAATACATAGCTGTCTGAATTTCTTCACTATTTACATGCTGACTATTGTTTTTCATCTGTGTTGTTGCTGTCACAACATTTTGGCCATTGTTCCCTATGGCTTTCATCAGGTGCTTGTTGACCCGGGTAACCTTCAGGGTATTTTGAACTGAACCCATTATTTAAACTATGAAGGTCAATTATTGTCATCATTCTACTGACTTTATTTAAGGATATCTTGTCTAGCTGAGTGAATTAAAGTGTTGGTTTGTAAATTTGGTGATATAGTAATTGTGAGTTCAATCCCTGGGCCTTGTAGTGTGCATTTGGATTCGGTGATAACAGGGTGAGCAATAACTAAACAGTACTAAATAAGAACAAGACAAGAAGTTCTTAGTGTTAGTGGAATCAGAACAATCTCGTCAACCAAGATAAAATAGAGGGTTTCAATTTGAAAATACCTGGATTGATAAAAATCAGATGAAGGACAGATGGCACAATGTCTGAAGTGTCGTGTTAACAGCAAAACTGAGGACAATAGTCTGCATGTAAATAATTAGTAAATAGCAAATTCATTTATCTCTTATTATTGTATGGATTGATTTTAACTTCTTAGTTTGAAAGTGGGGAAAAAAACCTTACTTAATAATAACATCTGAACATTGTGTATTCATTAAGTGACTTGTATCTTTGTAACAACTGAATCAATATATTTTTTTCTCTTTCTTTCTTTATCTTTTTTGCCTTCTCCTCTTTCTTTATCTTTTTTGCCTTCTCCTCTTTCTTTATCTTTTTTGCCTTCTCCTCTTTCTTTATCCTTTTTGCCTTCTCCTCTTTCTTTATCTTTTTTGCCTTCTCCTCTTTCTTTATCCTTTTTGCCTTCTCCTCTTTATCTTTTTTGCCTTCTCCTCTTTCTTTATATTTTTCTCCTCCTCCTCGCTTTCTATTTCACTCACTCACTCTCCATATACAGTTTTAAATTCTATTGAATCTAGACTCTTTACTATCTTGTACTAAATAGCAAAGGATATTCAGCCTCCACAGGTTTCACCACCCCCAATGGAGAAAGGGGGAAGCTTTTGTTTTTCATAGTGTTGCTTCTCTTTCTCCTTTCCTTCCACTACACTGCTTTTGAAACGGATGCCTGCGGGTTTCCTGGATCATTAATTTTGTTCTTTTAATTCCCCGCTGAGTCTCTCTCATTGTCATCTTGTACCAATGTTCAATTAAACTTGTTTTGGGTCTTTTGTACTATTTTTCTTTTGTAAACATAGCAAAAAAAAATCATCAAGAAATTTATTTATTTTTAGAAATCTCTATACTCAGCCACATATAGTTGCATTTTTTTGGCCTGTAACTTTTTGTTGTAATAAAACACATAAAAATAAGTGAATCCTGCCTTGATTTGAACTTCCAGCCAAAAGGTGACTTATGGCCATATCACATTGAAACACCAGTTTTTGTATGATCACTGAAATTAAGCAATGTTGAACCTGGTCAGTACCTACATGGGTGATTGCTTGGGAATACCAGGTGCTGTAAGCTCGGATTTGGGGGTAGCGTAATGGATAACAGCTTGGAATGAGAAATTGTAGAGCAGAGTTTCAATTCCAATTGGGTTTGTTATAGTCACTTGCACATAAATACACCCAGGGAAAGGTATGAATCCACCTCTTCTCCTCCCAGCTATGGATTAATTAGTAGGACTTATTCTTCTTTTTGTGCTGCAAGGTAAAATTGCAAATACTGAGTAAGGCAGAGTGCACAGACACTACACTGATCCTAGATAGAAGTGCCACTTCATACACAAATAAACCCGTCATTTTTGAGAGGTACTGTTTATATTTAAAAACTTCTAACAATAGTAAGGACAGAACGAAATATGCTGTGAAAATATTTCATTTTGTCATGTCCTATATTCACCATATTTTTTTCCTCTCACTGTCCACCTTCTGCTATTTAATAAATTAACTGAAATTAATATTGATTTCATTCCCTACCAGGCCACTCACAGACATACAAAAGAGGGTGTGGCAACCTTTCTTATTGTTTATTCCTAACAAAATCTGTAATACTTAACCCTCTGTTAGTAACATGGGGTGTTTGAACAAACACCCCATGTTTGTCTTTAATACTTAGCAAGTGGCAAGTCAAATGTGTATGGTTCACCAGAAATCTTTCTGAATAACTTTGGTATTTAACTACAACAAGTTTCTAGTTTTAGTCATAACATTTGTGGGAATTACAAGCAGTTTTGTTTATGAAAAAATAAAATGAAACCTGTTTTTGTTTATTTTAATTTTTTTTAATATTGACCTTCTAATTTGATTTTTAAAAATAAAACATTTGTTTTTAATCATTTTTATTTAACCTATAAAATCCAGAAAGAATGCTCGAGACAATTTATAACAAGAAAATTAAGAACTAAATTGATATATCTATTATATTTTAAACGGAGTGTTTGAAAATGCCACAATACTTATATTGAGACAATGTCCTACAGTACTAATGAAGGATTAAGTTTATATGGTACCTACCAATTTCTGACACTACTGTTTTTGTTAAGGAATACTACTTGCATGTCTTCGTTATCTTAGGTCTTTAGTCATCAGTCGTTGGAGATTTGTTGCTCAAATAAGTCTGATACCATCAGCTACAGATTTGTGCATATGTCAAAAAATTAAAATATTTTTAATTTCTTAATTACATTCTACTTTCTTTCTTTCTTTTGTGCATTGTGGATGTAGTGTATTTCCCTGGGGTTGGGGATGCTGAAACCTCAAAGGTGTATGGCAATTTTGACTCTTAGAATTTGGTAAAAAGAATAAGCATAAAGTGATCTTCAGTTTGTAGGATGCAAATTTCATTTAGGTGTAATACCTTCAAAGCTACAAAGCTATGGAAATATTGTGTATACACACACACGCACACACACACACTGAAAAGTGCACGGCCCAATTCACTTCTGAAAATTTGAATTTTTTATTTTAAATCTCTTCTTGGTCAGGTTCAGCACATCCTCAAGTCAGTGTGTTCACATATGTGTATATTTGTGTTTATGTATGTTTGTATATATGTACAGAGTGCGATGGATAAATTGTCGTCTAAATTATGCAAAAATGAAAATAACACTGACATCCCATTTTAACAGATATATATTTATTAAAATTACACAAAAATATCTTGAAATACTAAAGAATAAATTTATTCAATAAAATCACTACTGGCTTCAACCACAGCCTTCAGACGACTTTGGAATCTCTTGCAACTCTTCTGGATGGTCTCTTTGATTAAGTTGGTGAATGCTGCCATAATCCTTCATCTTTGGTGTTAAAAGGAGTTTTGTTGGTCTCTTGCTCAACTGTACCCTGCACATAATAATCAGGTGGGGTTGCAGTCTGAGGAGTTAAGTGGCCAGATGTAAAGGGTAATGTGGTAAAATTGTCTGACAGGTATGACCGGATTCTCCTGCTTGTGCAGAGTCCTGTTGCCAGACATAGGGTTTTCTAGCAGTCACCCTCTTGATCTAGGGCAGAACCACCTCCTCAAGACATTTGATGTAAGCTTCTATGTTGAAACTGAGGCCCTCACCAACAAATTCTGGAGTTCTTTTCTTATCAGAACGATCACAGTGAGTTTATTGAGCTGCTGTACTGTCGTAATCACCGTTAGACTCATCCAGCTTTTTCCGAATCCTCTGAAATGTTCATATTGGAGCTTCTGTCAAGAATGCCAAGCAGTACAGTATACTGTTTCCAAAGTTCTGGGGGAGTGAATTGTGTCATGTTGGTCTTTTTTTCACAGATGGTGCCCAACTGATATTACTGTGCAGTTGACAAAGTCAAAAACAAAAAATGCACATGAGCAAAATTAAAAATATAAAATGGCAACAATTTACCTTTCACACCCTGTATGTGTGTGTATATATATATATATATATATATATATATATATATATATGTGTGTGTGTGTGATTTCTTGAATGACATGGAAATGATTCCTTAAATGTTCATCTGGGAGTAGTCTTACTTGGTCACTAGTTGCTTGCCACCATATATATATATATATATATTTCTTTCTACACATGTATGAGAGAGTGTGGACACAAGAATCAACATTGCATGGTGACTGTCAATTTCCCACTTTCATGCAATCTTTAGATTAAATCTTTTTGATCCCTATATTCACACTGTATATATCGCTAAACATTCAAAGCAAATTGTGTGTGTGTTTTATATATATATATATATATATATATATATATATATATATATATATATATATATATATATATATATGGAATAATATTTGATTTGATATTCTTAGTATTCTGTGTGTGCTTCCTGGGATGACATTTTCATGAATGCAGGCAAAAATTGAAAAAATTTTATTCTAGGCTGCATTCATGCAACTAATTTATTCAATGTGACTGCAGACTTGTTCTATAAAATTAGCAATGGAAGGTAAAGATCTAAAAGATTTGACTGTTTTTAGACTTCCAGCTTGTATCCATTCAGTTTTATCAAGATCTGTCAAACTGTTCTTGAGTGATCTGATACATATACCTGCTCTGTTTTGAATGCATACAAAATGATATCTCCGTTCCATAATAGTTGTTCCATTTAGTGTATGGAGTATATATGAAAATGGAACAACTATTATGGGACAAAGGTAGTAATTAACATTTTGATTTTTTTTTCCTCTTAGTCTTTTACAGTGAAAGACGAAAAATGTCTGAATGTTGATAAATTTGTTCATTTGTCACTTCACCTTCATCTTCCTCTAAAGAAATGATATTTGTTTTGAGGAGCATTTCTCTGTTGTTTATTTTTGAATACGTGTTACTTTCTAAATGCATCTGCTTCTTATTTTTCTGCCATTTTGGCACCTATTTGTCTTGTTTTTTTATTAACATCAAGGATATACCTAGCTTGCTTGCTTTGAAGAAGACTGATTTTAGTTTCTTTTTACAATAATATTGACTCTGTACAAGGACCAAGAACCACTCAAAGTAGAGGGTTACTGAGTAATTGTCTTCATTTTTGTTATTGTTGTTGCTATCATCCCTGGACGAGAACAATCTACCACCAGTAGATTAAATAAAGGGCTCAGTGTGAAATTCACTGAATGTTGCCCAGGTCAACATTCATCTGGTAAAAGCAAGAGGACACAACAGATGAAATGTTGTGATAACAACAACAACAATGATGGGGACAATAGTCTGCATGTGTAGAAGTCAAATGACTTACCTGCCAATATGGCTGACTTCCTGTATCTCCTGGGAAATTCAAGCTAGCTAATTTACCTCATTTATAGGAGAGCACCTAATGCAGCAGGTGGGCAGATACAGCTCTTATTTTAAAAATCTACCAAAATTCAATTAATTGTATTTTAATAGAATTTTTGGTATTAAAGTTACTTAAAATAATTTTGCGCTTGAAATTTAAGGGGAAAACTTTAATAGCCTGGTTTATCATTATGTAAGGTCTATCTGTATTCGTAATGAATAATTTTTCTTTAATGGATCAGTTTAATTCATTCATTTCAAAAACATTCATTCATAGGTGATCTCTGGAAATACTTTTTGAAAAAAAAAATAAGTCAGATGAAAAAATATATTAACAGTTAAATCTAAATATCTCAAGACTTTAAACCAATTGTTACGTTTTTAAAGTAAAAATCTGTTTCATGTCTGAGATATTTTTGATATGACTTTTATTCCTTCAGTTATTACAGTAATGACAAACATCCATTGTTTCTAAAAGTGAACTGCTATTTTAATTGTAACTTTTTGAACTGTACTGTTTTTGAGTCTACGTTTAAATTTAATCCAGCTTTAGTCATGAGTTTTTTGGGTTTTTTTATTGCTCGAATCTTTGGAGAGGGAGAGAGAAAAAGTTCAGTAAAATATATTAACATTTTTGTGTCAAAAGATCATCTTTTTTTTTCCAAATCAATTGTGCTGTATGTGATCTGGAATTATCTTTTGAAAAAAAAAGGGACATTTTTTAAAGTTAAATCTCAGGAATATCTTAAGATTTTAAACATAATCTAAGAGTTATATTTTACTATTCACAAAGTTTCATTGGTTTAGAAAAATTACTCCAGAATTCATCTGATCCCAAATTTGCTGGATTGTTGAGGTTTGAATCTTTATATTAATGTCTACTGTAAATAATCTATTTTAATTTATAAGGTTTAAGCAAAGTTTGATCTAATTGTTATTTTGAGAGTCTACAACAAAGTAAATTCAACATCATGTTGACCCCTCTTGGCAATGTCTTTATGATAATAAGTCTTTCTTAATAAATAATACAAAAAAAAGAAAAAAGGATAATTTTTAAAATCTAGAAAAATTCCAAAATAGGATCAGAGAAGTCAGTGTATGGATGTATAAATAAATATAATAACCAGAAAAAATATATTTAATATTTATCCTCCTGGTGCCAGTTCAAACTGATGTTTTTTTTTTTTTTCTTCTCTAATTTTGGAAAATGGAAATTTACTTGAAATTTGTTTGAAAATTTTATCTGAAATCAGAAA